TTTAAAAAGGAAGGGCAACCTTACTGGTAGTCAGGAAATTAAAAAATAAAATGATACCATTTTTTCACCCATTAAATTGGAAAAGATTGAAAACAATTTTCATCAGGGTAAACAGACATTTTCATTCAACCTTCAAGTATTACAACCTTTCAGGATACTAATCTGGTACTATATGCCATATTTAAAACTATATGTGTCCTGAGATGCACTTCTGGCCATCTTTCCTGCAGCTTTATAAGCATCAATATTTTAAGGATATAAGGATATATGTAAAAGGATGTTTATTACAATATTGTTTGTCTTAACCCAAACTTGCAACAACTGAAATGTCTAATAGGAGAATGGCTGGATAAATTATGGTATATCTATACTATGGAAGGTTATATAGATATCAGAAAAAATGTTCATAATATATTTCATGCAAACAAAAGCAATTTAAGAGTAATATGTGTGATGGAATCTTTTTTGAGAGACAGAGAAAGAGAGAGAATGCACACATGTGAGTGGGAGAGGGGCAGATGGAGAGGGAGAGAGTGAATCTTTTTTTTTCTTAATTTTTTTTCATGTTTATTTTTGAGAGAGAGAGAAACAGAGTGTGAGTGGGGGAGGGGCAGAGAGAGAGAGGGAGACACAGAATCTGAAGCAGGCTCCAAGCTCTGAGCTGTCAGCACAGAGCCGGACATGGGGCTCAAACTCACAGACCGCAAGATCATGACCTGAGCCAAAGTTGGATGCTTAACCAACCCAGGTGCCCCGAGAGACACAGAGAATGAGAGAGAGAGAGAGAGAGAGAGAGAGAGAGAGAGAGAGAGAGAGAATCTTAAGCAGGCTCCATGCTCAGCATGGAGCCCAATTCAAGGCTTGCTCTCACACCCTGAGATCATGACTTGAGCCAAAATCAAGAGTTGACACTTAACTGACTGAGCCACCCAAGAGTCCCTGGGATCTCATCTTTGTTGAAAGAAGGGAGAGAAAGTTCTTAAGTTAATACAGGAATAGAAAAGAAAATCACTGGATACTTCAAGGGAAAAGAATTAGAAAGGATTAGGGGCAATTATTTTTAAATCTCTATAGAATGTTCAAAATTTTACAATAACTTTTATTACTGTGAAATATATGTGACAACAAGCATGCTTCTTTTAAACAATATAATCAAATTGCTCACAGTTTTTAAAATTAATTAATTTAGAGAGAGAGAGAGAGAGCAGGGGAGGGGCAGAAAGAGGGAGAGACAATCCCAAGGAGGCTTTGCAATGTCAGCAGAGAGCCTGATGCACAGCAAAACCTCACAAACCATGAGATCATGACCTTAGCCAAAATCAAGAGTCAGATGCTTTACTCACTGAGGCACCCATGTACCCCAACAAGCATGCGTTTTTAAAAAGTCTAACATATTATTGGTGATATAGAAGAAAATTAGAACAATTAATTTGTTGTTTTTCTATGGATAGAAACAAAAAATTTCATTATTGTAAAATAAGGCAAGTTGAGGCACCTGGCTGGCTCAGTCAGTGGAGCATGTGACTCTTGAGCTTGGGGTGGTAAGTTTGAGCCCCACGTTGGGTGTAGACATTGTTTAAAAATAAAATCTTTTTAAAAATTAAAAAAAATAAATAATGGTAAATTAATTGTAGTAGCCAAGCCCACCAACTTCCCTTCTTTTGGTATCAGACTCTATTCCTCACACTACAAAGACTGAAATGATGTAGGCTAAGCCAAATCTCGTAATTCACACCCATGTCCTAGTAGATGGGTAATGCTATCTGCTGTGATAAATAAAGCCAAATGTCAGTGGTTTAACACATATAGTTTGACTTCTCAACCATATCACATTCCAATGTGAATATCCCTGGTCAGTGGAGGACTTTTCTCTATTCAGAGATTCAGGGAGCTATGCTTCTTTTATAATCTCCCAGGGCCTTAAAACTCTCTGAATCTAGCTGACATAAATAGGAAGAAAGGACATGGAGAAGATATAGTTCTTTTGGAAACATCTTGGCCTAGACATAACATACATAATTTTCACTTACTTTCCACTGATGGAAAGTATTCACATATCTTTACTCAGATGTAAGAGGACAGCTAAAAAAATAAAATAAAAAGTAGGCACGTCAGACACTTCCCAGTGTCACACCCCTCACTATGTAACTGCAAGTACAAATTTTGGGGTCTGTCACTGTAATGCTAATCAAAGACTTCCCTGGCATTTTATAATTGGAGCTGGCAAGGACTTAGATGATTAAGATGTGAGGTAACTTCTTCAGGCTAGAGAATGAAGCCAAAACACAGGTAAGTCAAATAAGACAAGAGACAAGTTCCATGATATTCCAGGTATTCTTTCTTCTCTGTATTAGTTATCCATTGCTGCTATTATAAATCTCCCAAAACTTAGTGACTTAAAACAACATTTATCATCCCACAGTTTCTGTGGGCCAGAAATTCAAAAGTAGCTTGGTTGAGTGGTTCTGGCTCACAGTTTCTTACATGATTTAAGTCAGATATCAACAAGGACTACAGTCATCTGAAGTCTTGACTGACTGACTGAAGTCTTGATTGCTTCCATAGGGCTCACTCACATGGCTGCTGGCAAGAGACTTCAGTTCCTCTCTGACTTTTGCTGGGAAGCCAGTTTCTTGCCACAGAGGCCTCTCCATTTGTCTGCTTGAGCATCTTCATGACATGGCAGTTGATTTCCCCTTGAATGAGTGATCCAAGAGACACAGCAAAGAGGAAATCAAAATGCCTTTTATGACCTGGTCTCCAAAATCACACTGTCACTCTGCCTTTTACTATTCATTAAAAGATAGTCACATTAGAGAATTTATAGACATATTTTAAAACCACCACACTGTGCAGCAGTTTTGTTTCACAAAGCAATACATTCCCAATTTTACCTAAGCTAGCTGAAGCTGGTTTTATTTTATTTGCAAATGAGAGTGCTCACCAATACTGGAATCATAAGGCATATACAGTAAGTATTATTGGGGTGTCTGGGTGGCTCAGTCGGTCAAGTGTCCGACTTTGGCTCAGGTCATGATCTCACAGTTTGTGAGTTCAAGCCCTGCATCGGGCTCTGTGCTGACAGCTCAGAGCCTGGAGCCTGCTTCAGATTCTGTGTCCCCCTCTCGGTCTGCCCCTCCCCCGATCGTGTTTTCTCTCTCTCTCTCTCTCTCTCTCTCTCTCTCTCTCTCTCTCTCAAAAATAAACAAACATTAAAAAATAATAAAATAAAATCTTAAATAAAAGAATATTGTACAACCATTTCAGAAAACTCTTTGGCAGTATCTTCCAAAACTTATCCTATCCATACCCTAAGATCTAGCAATTCCATTCCTGGGTGTATTTCCAACATATATATGAAATATATATGCTCGATATACTAGATACAAGAAAGTTCATAGAAACTTTATTCATAATCGCTAAAACCTGAAAACAAATACCCATCTAAAGTAGAAGAGATAAATAAATTGTGCAATACCCATCGGGATGGTTAATTTTGTGTCAACCTGATTGGGCCAAAGGCTACCTTGATTAAACATTTAGTTACAGGTGTTATCTGCTAGGATGTTTCTGGATGAGATTAGCATTTGAATTGGTGAACTGCTGCTCTCCTGCAATAAACGCAATGCCTTAAAACAGGGGCAGATGCAGAGGGAGGTTGTCCTCTCAGTTTCACAGCTATTAAAATTGGTCAAGACCCTTACATGTACCACTTGCCCAACTGTAGCTGATAATTTACCTAACCTAAATGAGTGAAAAATGTAAATGATCGTAACTTACCCTTCTTTCTATACATTAACAAAATCTAAGTCCCTTTAGCTAGCTCCTTTTAAAACTCACTCACCCCATGTTCCCACAGGGACTGCCACCAGCCCTTCCCCCCAAATACCAGAGGCATTGCTTTTCAACCTAATCTAGGGACGCTTGCCTCTGAAAATAATTTTTAAAACAATATATGTCCTATTTTCTTTTTTTTTTTAATGTTTTTATTTATTTTTGGGACAGAGAGAGACAGAGCATGAGCAGGGGAGGGGCAAAGAGTGAGGGAGACACAGAATCTGAAGCAGGCTCCAGGCTCTGAGCTGTCACCCCAGAGCCTGACGGGGGGGGGGGGGGGGGGCTCGAACTCACAGAATGTGAGATCATGACCTAAGCCGAAGTCGGACGCTTAACCGACTGAGCCACCCAGGCGCCCCAATATATGTCCTATTTTCCTAGAAAATCCTGGATTTGGAGTTAAAGATTGCTTCGGTATTTAGGAACAGTGTGTTTGGGGAGGAAGCACTTATCCTCCCTGAGCCTCGATTTCCTTATCTGTAAAACAAGCATTAATAACCTATAACATGGTGTTGCTGTGAGAACTTAAAAAAAGAAAGAACATCAATGCCCTATGTAATTTCCTTTATTCCTCAACTAGAGCTTTGTTCGTTTCTGGTTTTTTTTTCAACTTGTGTCATAGTGTTAACTGGAAGCTGAAGTAGAATCTCCCCAAAGACTGGGCTTACTTCCCAATACTCTTGACAGAGGATGAATGTTTACTAGATGAAGCATTTCATTTCACGAAGGACATGGCAATCTGACGGTTACAAACATTCCCAACCAACTCACACGACAAAGATTAAGTTACCTATGAACTAGGTATTTGACAGGAACCAACATCCTAGAATTACCAGGGAGGGCCTACGTGACGCAAGCAAAGAGAACACCAGAAGATGCGGCCAACCAACGGTGACGTACTTCCGGCGCGACGCTTTCTCTCCACGCCAGGACTGGATGGTGGGGGAGGGAGGCGGTTAGTGGGCTTTAGCGCCTTTTCTGGCGGCGGTAGATTTGAAGCGCCTTTAAAGGACCGGACCCGAGAACTGAAGACTACTGGAGCAGGTAGGTGGCGCGAGGCCCGTATTTTTTCGGTGGCGTCCTTTGCAGCAGTCCCGGAGTACGAGAGCGGGAAGGGCCCGAGGAGAGGGGCGGAGCCGACGCGTTAGGCCCGGGCGAGTCAACTACCTTCCCCTCGAAGTATCTGGGCTATCTCGTTCCTGAACTAGTTCCCCAAGAACTGTGGCGCTGGCTCCGCAGCCGTTGCAGCTGGACCAGGCCTCCAGCCGTGCCTCCGGGGCCTGGGAAACGGTCCTCCCCCTGCCAGCCCCCGCCCTCTCCACTTGGGCGCACACCTCCCTCCCTGACGCATTTTGCCGCACAAGCTGTAATATGGCGGCAGCAACGGCGGCCTGAACTCTAGGGAACGAGGGTGATTTTTGATGCTTCAAAATCGTAAGTCTGATCGCTAATGCGGGGTAGGTGGGAGGTTTGGTGGGGAAGGGGTAACCTGATGTCCTGTCAGGTTAGGATTGGAGAGTGGCGGGCGAGGAACCTGGATCACAGGGGTTAAGATTAGACTGAAAACAGGCTTTCCTCCACTCCGACCTTTTCGTCTTACGGACGGCGGCTGTCGTGCATACTTAAGTGATACAGGCCTCTTAGTTAAGCATTTTACTTAAACTGAAATCCAGGCTCTTCGCTTTTCATCCCAGGGCTGTCTAAAGTTCGCCCACGTTTCCAAGGACCTGTGAGCAGCGCAGGCATTTTAGGAGAAGATAATTACTCTTTAGGAGGAAGGCGATGCCTTCAGGGCTCCATATGCCTTGGGGGAAGTGTGCGAATTTGGCTCATCTTTAGTCTTTTAAGGAGCTAAGTCGAGCTCTGCGGGAATGGAGAACTCTCAGTCATTTTGGAAATGTTGTAAAAGCACCATTTTGTGCATTAATCTAATTTATTCTCACACCAGTACTTTCTGTTCAGAACCAAGCTTTTGCAGTAGTGATGACAAATACGTCCAAGAAACAGATGTTTTGGACGTTTGGGGGTCCTTTAACTTTTAGTGGCTAAAACCACATGGAGCGGAAAGCATGTGTGCGTGTGTCCGTACGTAGTCCCATTTGGGAAAGAAGAAAAAAAAACGCTAGTAATTTGCGGGTTCGCAAAGATGATGGGTGAGGGGGTGGGTGTGTGAACGTTTTTGAAATAGTGCTGTAAAATCCAGAAAAAGCACAGATATCTAGAATGGCTGCTTTTCTCATAATATTTTTTCTTGGTACCCGAAAAGTTACGGTTCTAGCATTTCCCCCCTTGTTATGTTAACCATTTTAGATGGGATTCTTTTATTATTATTTTTTTAATTTTGTCTTTGTTTATTTTTGAAGGAGAGAGACAGTTTGAGTGGGGGAGGGGCAGAGAGAGAGAGACAGACAGACAGACAGACAGACAGGTAGAGGTAGACACAGAATCTGAAGCAGGCTCCAGGCTCTGAGCTGTCAGCACAGAGCCCGAAGGGGGCTCGAACTCATAAATCTTGAGATCCTGACCTGAGCGTAACTCGGCGCTCAACTGACTGAGCCACCCAGGCGCCCCTAGATGGGATTATTTCTGTCTTAATCAGTTCATTTTTACATCGTTTGACGTATTCTTTTTTATTCAGGATTATAGGTGCCCTGAAATCCTAATGGGTCGTAGTAGGATTCTGTGGGGTTATTTTGTTTTGTTTTGTTTTGGGGTTGTTGTTTTTTTTTTTAAACTGTGTTTGCTTTTTAAGGTTTTTTTGTCTTTGCGGGCTGTTGTCAGGGTTGCCTCCCCCTGCTGTCAGGAGTGTACAAGTATGCAAGCTTCCTAGGTTAGAAAATTTGAATTTGTTTCTGGCTCAACCATCTTTCTGAACCTCAGTTTCTTCATCTGTAAAATACTTTGATTTCAGGCTTTCATCAGCTGTGGGCTTCAAAAATAAATAATCAGGTTTGTTAAAATTCTGTGTAAAATTGGCTTTCAATAATAACTCAGTGGTTCTATGAGTGATACGTTTATTGTGACTTTTTAAAGATCTTTCATTTTTGGTACTTGTTATTGTGGTCTTGCAGTATCAGTGGTCTCTGGGTAAGGTTTTTGTCCTTTTGATACTTTGCGTATTTTATTTTTTGTTATTTTTTTAAAAATATTTATTTATTTTGAGGGATGGGACACAGCACGAGTTGGGGAGGGGCAGAGAGATAGGTGAGAGAGGATCCCAGGCAGGCTTCATGCCATCAGCACAGAGCCAGATGTGGGGCTTGAACTCATGAAATTGTGAGATCATTACCTGAGTCGAGAGCAAGACTTGGATGCTTAACCAACTGACCACCCAGGCGCCCCACATTTTGTGTATTTTAAACATTTTTTTTCAACGTTTATTTATTTTTGGGACAGAGAGAGACAGAGCATGAACGGGGCAGGGGCAGAGAGAGAGGGAGACACAGAATTGGAAACAGGCTCCAGGCTCCGAGCCATCAGCCCAGAGCCTGACGCGGGGCTCGAACTCACGGACCGCGAGATCGTGACCTGGCTGAAGTCGGATGCTTAACTGACTGCGCCACCCAGGCGCCCCATTTTGTGTATTTTAAATGAGATTTTCTGTCAGGCAACTTACATTCTACATGCAAAGAAAAACTGGTGGTGTGAACGAGCTCTAGTAGTTATCAGAACACCATCAACAATTAATTCTTCCAGTGTTGTTCTTTTAAGAAACAGACGTTGTTTTCCCCTTATTTTTTTTTTTACTAATAGGATATTTCAATAGAATTATAATTTGTTACTTAGTTTTAGTGTTCTAAGGTATTAAGGTGTCTAACTTGTCATGTATTAGGAATACATAGATAATTAATTCAAGTGATTTGAAAAGTTTGTTGCAGATGTGCTACAGTGTGTTATTGCACATTTTTGGCTTTAATATTAGCACCAAGCTTTAGTTTTTAGATTTAGGTGTCAGTGGTTTTGCCCTAGTTTAATTCATATGCTGTCTCTGTAAAAACTCTTTTTTTAATTTCTGTGGGGCAAATCTTGCATCTTGAAATTTACTACAGGCAGTATTGTAAATACTCAGAGAAAACTTCTGTAACTGGGACTTTGTACTTTCAGTACCAGGCAGGAAATCTTTTGTGGTGGCTTAAAATGATCACCAACTTCTTTGTGAAATGTAATTACGTCATACTTACTTATAAATATAGGCATCAATTTTTTTAATATAAAATGTTATTTTTAAAACATGAATGATTCCTTAAGTCATTGATTTTTTTAAAATGAATGAAGCCTCTTTATGTATTAAGCTACTGCTCATTGTGTATAAACTTTAGCTTAAGATTTATTTGTAATTATGTCATTGCATTGTGGTCATAGATAGAATTTAAAATTAAATAAGCTGTTATCTGGAATATTTGTGAATAAGCTAGTTTCTACAGTGAAGCTGTAAAGTACTTAACTAGAAAACTCTTGCTGTTTTCAACTTATGACCTTGAGCCAGTCACTTCAGCTCTCTAGTCATGTCAAATCTATAAAATCAGATTGGACCAGATTAAGGTTCCTTCAAACTTCTAAAGTCTGTAATTTATATAGGAATTACCAGATTGGCTAACATGTTGTTGTTATATGGTATAGGTATATTTCTGGAAGCAATGGTATACATTTATCATTGTAAGAACTTAAATAATTGCAGGTACAGCATTAAGAATATTAGCAGAGATTTCCCAGTTAGTATATGCTTTTTTAGTTTGGTACTGACATAGCTGTACTATATTTTTATGCTCTCAGGTTGTATGTTTGGAAAGCATATAATATCCTATTTAACACTGAACTTGGCAACATTACAGCTTTTCTCTTTTTATGTTTTCTAAAGAATTTCAGAAGTGCCTATACACTGTTATATTTCTACCAGCACAGTGATTTGTGACTGTCAAAGACACTAAGGGAGGGGGCACTATGGAAGATCACAGGTGCCTTTCCTGATGCCTCAGAATATTAACTTGTTTGTACTTAGTTTGCTAGCACTATGGTACTCATAAATATATTAAAATGTTTTTGAAGCAATCTATTTTCATTTCTCCTTTGATCTCTGAACTACACAGGGTAAAGAGGCTAGTCTGAATGTCAGATTGCCTTTTTTGAAAGTAATCTATGAGATCTGCTATACTTGTAATTAGTTTAATGCAATATGCTTTTAGAAGTGGAAATCTTGTGTGAAAATTGTTACCTGTGTTATTAAACTTAAGCAGGTAAGAACTTTCCATCTTTATTTCTTAGTTCTGAACTGAAGATGCTCCTTGTGGATTCTGTTTTTTTAAAAATAAAAGAAACATTTTATTAGTAAAATGCAGCTCCGTTAGGCAGATTGAGGGAATAAGTTCTGTTTCAGTATGGAATAGATTCAGGGGATGGTTACTGGTAGGCTCTGGGAGAATTTACTGACTACAGATAGATATTAGCTATACTCCATGTGAGAAGCAGTACATTTAGGGGGTACAGTACATTTGAAGCAGAACCTGGTTTTGCTCATGTCTTGATTAACTCGTATTCTTTGCATTTGATAATGTAGTCCTGGGCCAGGCCCTATGCATGGTGTTGAAGATACAAGAGTTTTGAGTTCGAGGACTTTACAGACAAGTTTATGACAAGGAGAATAAGATTCAACAAAGGAGGATCATTTAAGTTTTAGAGAGTCAGGGTGAAGTTCCCAGGAAGGATACTCTGGGCTATTTGAATCTTGTAAGGACACAGGAATTAGCCAAGGGAATCAGAAAGGGCAAAGACCTGTTAATCTTATAGTTTTAAAAGATTTACTGTCTACCTTTTGAAGAGTTATTATTTTACTGACTCCCTTGTACTGTATGAAACTTAAATTTTTTGAATGTCATAAAGTCACTGCATTATTTATTGCCTAATTGCAAATACCATGTCCTTTACCATATATATTTAGTGATTAGCTGCTTATGTCCTTGTCCTGCCCCTTTGCCCATCCTTCATGTTATGTTAGGATGGCTATCAAAATTGTTTTAGGTACGAAACTACAAGATTAAACTTTTTAACATATGAATTTGTAACTTCTCTGATATTTTTATGAACTATATTTGTTTCAAAAGTTTACACATCCTAGCATTTAATATTTTAAAATATTTACATGATATGTTATTGATATACAAAACTAAGATATTGTTGGTAAACATTTAAAACAACATTGTAATTCCCTCTGTTTAGAAAAAAGAATATACATAACATTTAAAAACTTATAGCTGCCAGGATTTTATCCATTTTTTATATGTTCTGATTTTTTTTCAGTGAGCCTGTCAACTTTATTGTTTAAAAGTATTTTCATTATGAAAAGAGTAGATGAGGTTTCTGAAGGAGTCAGGCAGGTGAAGTGAGTTCAAGACGTCAAATAGATAATAAATGGTAACAGCTAATAGGCTGTAGTTGGA